AGAGATCCACAGACTCGCCACACAGAGACCCACAGACTCACCACACAGAGACCCACAGACTCACCACACAGAGACCCACAGACTCACCACTCAGAGACCCACAGACTCACCACACAGAGACCCACAGACTCACCACACAGAGACCCATAGACTCACCACACAGAGACCCACAGATCACACCAACTAAGAGACCCACAGACTCACCACACAGAGACCCACAGACTCACCATACAGAGACCCATAGACTCACCACACAGAGACCCACACACTCACCACACAGAGACCCACAGACTCACCACACAGAGACCCACAGACTCACCACACAGAGACCCACAGACTCACCACACAGAGACCCACAGACTCACCACACAGAGACCCACAGACTCACCAACAGACACCCACAGACTCACCACACAGAGACCCACAGACTCACCACAGAGACCCACAGACTCACCACACAGACCCATAGACTCACCACACAGAGACCCACAGACTCACACACAGAGACCCACAGACTCACCACACAGAGACCCATAGACTCACCACACAGAGACCCACAGACTCACCACACAGAGACCCACAGACTCACCACACAGAGACCCACAGACTCACCACACAGAGACCCACAGACTCACCACACAGAGACCCACAGACTCACCACACAGAGACCCACAGACTCACCACACAGAGACCCATAGACTTACCACACAGAGACCCATAGACTCACCACACAGAGACCCACAGACTCACCACACAGAGACCCATAGACTCACCACACAGAGACCCACAGACTCACCACACAGAGACCCACAGACTCACCACACAGAGACCCACAGACTCACCACACAGAGACCCACAGACTCACCACACAGAGACCCATAGACTCACCACACAGAGACCCATAGACTCACCACACAGAGACCCATAGACCCATCACACAGAGACCCATAGACTCACCACACAGACCCATAGACCCATCACACAGAGACCCACAGACTCAACACAGGCCATTGGAACGTTGGTAACGATCAGGAACATGCCGTGACAAAACAAGGAAGTCTGAAATATGCTGGGTGTAAATCAGCACATCAAATTAAATCCGCAGGGGAGGGAAAGAAAGGCCCCAAGCATGCGACACTCGGCCGAGAGAGTGGGGAGAGAGAGAGGAAGAGACTTTTCACGACTTTATTTCCACTAAAACATGAAAAAAAAAACCATTACAGGAAAACACGTAAATTGTGAATCAACAAAACATCAAACTCTTAACAGCTGTGTGTGCATGAACTACACACGGCACAGGGATAGAGGCTGTGCAAACGAGGCGGTGCACGGACATCTCCGTGTGTAGCAAAGTCGCTACGCTAAAGGGTTTTTCTATTTGATAAACAATCAAATGTTTTGACACGGGAATGCGACGTGAACAAGATACGTTTTTCTCCCCGACATTTTCAAAACGAAATGGCGTTGACGCGTCAAACACCTGAAATAATTTTTTTTTACGGATTCAGTTGTCGGTTTTCATTAAAGTGTAATGACAGGGTGACACCTGGTAATGTCACAGGGTGGGTCAGTTGGTGGGTGGGTGGGTGGGTGAGTGGGTGGGTGAGTTGGTGAGTGGGTGGGTGAGTTGGTGAGTGGGTGGGTGAGTTGGTGAGTGGGTGAGTGAGTTGATGAGTGGGTGGTTGAGTGGGTGGGTGAGTTGGTGGGTGAGTTGGTGAGTGGATTGGTCAGTTGGTGAGTGGATGGGTGAGTGGGTGGGTGAGTGGGTGGTTGAGTTGGTGAGTGGGTGGGTGAGTTGATGAGTGGGTGGGTGAGTGGTGTGGGTGGGTGAGTTGATGAGTGGGTGGGTGAGTTGGTGAGTGGATGGGTCAGTTGGTGAGTGGGTGGGTGAGTTGGTGAGTGGGTGGGTGAGTGGGTGGGTGAGTTGGTGAGTGGGTGAGTGAGTTGATGAGTGGGTGGGTGGGTACGGGTAGGCCGTGAGTCACTGGTGAGTCACCGTTTGTCACTCATTTCCCAACGTCTTGTCTCTTCTCACAATTCAAGTTCCTAGAATCAACCCACCCGCGCCTGCAACGTGGCTTCATCCCAGAGGTCGCAATCGGGTACCTGATACTCGTACCCTACCCGATACCCGGCTGGGTACGGGTAGCCGGGTATCGGGTAGGGTACAGGTACAGCTACCCGTTTGCGACCTCTGGCGTGCCGGCAACGTGAACATGTCGAGTGAGCGGCCGGGCAATTTGCAGTTTGACGGTGAACACCGCAACGGACGTGAGGTTCAGAGCGAACGCCAAGCGGTAGGACACCGTCCGCGGTCTGACGAACGCCGCCGCGATGGTCACGCGGCACTACGGATACGCCGAGAGGTTCTGGACGGGGCGGCCGGGAGGCGACGTCGCGACGGGGGCCGGGCCCCCCACCCTCGGCGGGTTCGCATCGCTGATGATTTCGTAGAGGAGCTCGCTCGCAACTTCGCGCGCTCCCTCCACGCTGGAGCTCAGGACCGCGGGGAAGAAGCCGCCGCCTTCCCGCATCATCCCGGGAATGAAGACCTTGTAGAGGAGGCCCAGGGGCTCGCCCGGCTCCACGTGCGCGTGCAGCTGGAAGGTCGCCCAGCCGACGCCGAAGCTCCGTAGCAGCAGCTGCAGACGTGTCTCCCACGACAAGATGGCCGCCTCCGGCAGCGCCTCGAGACCGATGGGCACGGGATGCGGGTGGTGAGGTGCCCGTCGCAGCCGCGTGAGCGCCGCCCAGCCCACAAACAGGCTGCTGCGCAAGGCCTTGTCGGCGCCGGTGCACTCCGGCACCGCCACCGCCACCTCCTCCTCGTCTTCCGTTGCCACCGCTGCCACCGCGGCCGCCGCCGCCGCCGTGTCCACCTCCGGGATGGCCCAGTCCAACTTGACGGTGCGGCCCCAGAGCTGGAAAGGAATTTGAAGCAGCTTCTTCCGTGCAAGGACGGCCGCGCGATGGCTCTCGTATTCGACGAGCGCGTAGCCTCGGTCGGGGCTTCTGTCGTAGCGACAGAAGCGCGTCTTGACGTCCACGACGCCCTCCGTGACGCCGCTCATCGCCGCCATCACCTGCGCCCGCGTCTTGTCCTTCGGCAGCCCCCCGACGAAGAGGCGGCGGTTGTCGACGCTCACGCGAACCGTGATGCGGTGCCCGGGACGGATCTCCAAGTCGTGGAGTCTCCTGACGGCGTCCGCGGCTTGGGAGCGCGTCGCGAAGGTGGCGAACCCGTAGCCGCGGTTCTCTCCGTGGTACGTCATCATGAGGCGCAGCTGGTACAGCTTCCCCACCGCCTCCAGCACGGGCACCAGCTCGTCCTCGTACAGGTCGCGCGGGATCCTGGCCAGGAACACCTCGCAGCCGCGGGCGGGAGGGGGGCCCTGCCAGTCGGGCGGCGGTCCCAGCTTCCTCTGTCCGTTCTCCTGCACGACGTTGTAGCCCGTGCGCAACACGAGGTCCAGCAGGTCCCTCTCCACGCAGCTCATGATGCCGAGCACCGGCGGCTTGCCCACGGTGGCGGTGACGACGGGGCAGCGGCTTGGGGCCCGGTGGAGCCCTCGACACTCGGCGCAGAAGCCTCGTGCCGACAAAACAACGGGGGGTTGGGGGTGGGAATGAACTCCCGAAAAGCCAAATCCCCGGCGGGAACTCGCTCGGCCCAAACCTACAGGCCCAGCAGTGGAGAGAAGAGAGAGAGTGGAGAGAGACGCGTTGAAGCAGAGCTCCCTTTGTAAACTCGGAAAATCATAATAGACTGAAAAGAGAAACCCAAGAAACTGTGTCCTGACTGTTTGACCGCCATGTATTACACCACTGGTGCACACACTTGTTGTTGTTCTGCAGTGAGGTATTCCAACGGTTGTAAGGTAATGTTGGGGTGCTGCTGATTCCAAATCTGGCATCAGTTTTTGTCTATCACGTCAGGTTTTTGAGATATCAAATATTGCATTTTCAATAAAAACTGCGGAAGAAAAATATTAAATGAATGTGGATATCTACATAAAATGATATTATAAACACACCATCCTAAAAATACAGCACCGTATTTTAACACTAAAGCAGTCACTGACTCGCAACAACTTGCAATCATAAGTGACAGAGTCAATTTCGGGTAAAATCAATGAAAATGGGGTATGCCGATAGCATAAAAATGAGATGTGATAGAGCAAATCTGAGATCATATTTGGAATCAGCACCCTGAAATTAGTCTAAAACAGCTGCAAAAGTCGCTCACACTCTCACCCACTCACTTTCTCACCTACCCACACACTCACCCACCCACACACTCACCCATTCACTCACCCATGCCCACTCACTCAGCCACTCACTCTCTCACCCACTCACTCACCCAATCACTCACCCAGTCGCTCACACACTCACCCACTCACTCTCTCACCTACCCACCCACTCACCCAATCACTCACCCAGTCGCTCACACTCACCCACTTACTCTCTCACCTACCCACGCACTCACCCACCCACACACTCACCCATTCACTCACCCACATGCCCACTCACTCAGCCACTCTCTCACTCTCTCACCCAATCACTCACCCAGTCGCTCACACACTCTCCCACTCTCTCACCTACCCACACACTCACCCACCCACACATTCACCCCATTCACTCACTCACATTCCCACTCACTCAGCCACTCACCCACTCACTCACCCAATCACTCACCCAGTCGTTCACACTCTCACCTTACACTCACCTCACCTAACCCACCTGTTCACACACACACTCACCCACTCACCTGTTCACGCAGCCACTCACAACAACAACAACCACTTAGTGGCAGTGGGGGTTCCCAGCCCCTCCACCTGCAATTAATTAGCCGCTGCTAATTAATTGCAGCGCTGCTGTGCCAGGTCACGTGACAGACCCAGCAGGTGCTATGGGTTGGCTGCTGTGCCAGGCTAGGTGCAGGAGGAGGTCACGTGACAAGCCCAGCACGTGCTGTGAGTTGGCTGCTGTGCCAGGCTAGG